CTGGGAAAGAAACAACACTGTTTCTAGGCCTTCTTTTACACCTTGGGCACGTTTTCCCTGCCTCTGCTTCTCCCACCCACAACTAATAGCTGAGGAGGATGCTGGAACAATCAAGAACTAGCTTTCCAAGGAAAGGGTGATGTGCCAAATCCCTCCAACCAATAACCGAGGGTGGACACCAAGTAAAAATAGTGAACACTTTGTTGCAAGAAACTAGTGTCCTTTCAAGAAGTTAGGGCCATACCAGACTCAGACCAGAGTGGGGGAGGCAGGATGTGAACAAAGGAAGGAATAAAAACAGTTTTTAAAACAGTTGGGAAGTAAAGTAAAGATCACTAACATGTTGGGAGAGTCCAAGGAGACAGGATCATTCAGGAGACAAGCAATTGAATAGACCAAGCCTACAGCAAAACCAAGCAGGACTCAGGAGCTGAACTTGCAAACCAAACCAGCCAGTCCTTGTCCCTGTCCCTTACAGGCATATGGGAATGATGTCAGAGAGAAAGGCTTACAATAAGGACTCACTGGGAGAAGCAGGAAGATGGATGTCTCAAGAGCATAACCCCAGGAAGGCACTAAACCTCAGCAATGACCAGGAATCACATCATCACCCAAGGTTATCTCAGCAGCCTTCCCCTTGACCTCCATTCCAGTCCTCAGCTCAGCTCTTATCATGAAGCCCAGTCAAAGTCTTAAGACCAGGTCCCAGAAACAGAGCTCTGAAATATACACCTGTGTCTTAGATGCTCATGGTGGGTAGAACAACCAATGCACAACAGACTGTGCCCTGTGGTCTCAGCTTCTCCTTTTCCTTGAGAATGTCCAGGGATCAGGCCCTTAGATCCAAGATCTTGGGAGGATGGTGGAGTACGGTCAAGGACCCCCAAAGTATCTCTTCATGAGCATGAGCCGCCTCATGGCCCCTATGACCTCCTTATTCCTCAGAGTGTAAACAAAAGGGTTGCACATGGGGGTGACAACTGTGTAGAAGATGGAAAGAATCTGGTCTGTGTCCCCAAGAGAATCTGCCTGGGGCCTCATATAGGCAACAGTCCCAGTCCCAAAAAAGAGTATGACCACAAACAGGTGGGAGGAGCAGGTAGAAAAGATCTTTTGACGTCCCTCAGATGTCGCAACACCAAGTATAGTGGCAATGATACAGGCATAAGAGGCCACAATCAACGAGAAGGGCGTGAAGATAAAAGCTACCGTGACGAAGAGATTCCCCACTTCACCCCAGAAAGTGCTTGCACTGGCCAGTCTCAGCACAGGCAGGATGTCACACAGGAAGTGATGGATGGTGTTGGCACCACGGAAAGGCAAAGTGAAGATGCAGACAGAGTGAATGGTGCCAGTGATGATGCCCGCAAAGTAAGAGGCCCCCACCATGCTGGCACATGTTCCCTGGTTCA